GAAATACTTGGAATAAATTGATGAGAATTTGTTCGAACTGCATTGTGAATTACGTAAATAAATATCTACTCGGTATTCAACTGAGCAGATGGTGAAACTGGATGGTATTCTGGAGATTTGGGTACATATTCAAGAGATTTAAGTTTATCTAATCTATTATCGATTGATTTTCGTATATCGGATATAATATTTTTATCTTGAGGTTTCTTTTTTCTTCTTTTCACATAATTTTTAAATTCTTTTAAAAGCTTTGCTTCATTTTTGTACTCTTGAACACACCTATCGTTAAAACTTCTTATCCATAACCAAATTTCGTACGTAGGTTTATACCTGGATAAATATCTTTTCAGTTTCATCAATGAACCTTTGGAATTAAGACGTACCAATTTCTCTTGTGGTGGAAATCTTTTGTTAATACTTTGAAGAATTCGAAAATAATTGCATCGCATCTTGAATGGACAATAATTGTTGTTGTGACGGGTATCGTATTGCCAAAGATGTTCATGAAATTCTAACTGTTTTTTACATTTACATGTAAAATATTTTTTAAAGCTGATCTCTTCAGTGTGTTTAAGAAGATCAAATTCTTCTTTTTGTTCGCGTCTTTTATAAAATCGAACATAAGAATGGTCAAAATCAATATTTCGCCATGATATATTGTTGTCAGTAATATACGATTCTAATATATACTTGTGTTTTAATGGAGAGAAACGTTGAAAATGTGTGACAACGTTTCTATCCATTTTAAAGTAATTATTTTTTAATTACTTCTGAATATCTGAAGCTGAGCTTAGTGATATTTGTTGAATCGTTTGATTCAAGTTGTGACAAGGTAATGATTTCCTTGCTTTTATAGGTGTTTGGATGAGACCTGAAAAAAACTAAGTTTTTTTTCTTTTACGAGAAAAACTAAAATAAATTTAGTTTAATAATAAATATTGACGATCAGCTATTAATTTTTTGTCAAATCCGTAAATTTACCAATCCGTAAAATTCTGATTTGGAACTAGTGTAAATTAATTTTTCCAAATCAGGATTCCTGATTTGGTATAAAAAAATAAGATTTGTGCAACTTTCTAAATCCGTAAAATTCTGATTTAGAACTGTAATTATTAATAATTACTTAATTCATAAAATTCTGATTTGGAATTTAATGTTTCGCAAAAAAATCAAACAAATATTTAATTGTAAAGATTAAAATTCTTTAAACAAAAAACAAAATGCGCAATACACATGAAAT